TAGTTATTTCAAGAAGATTATGAGAGGCATTATAATATTTCTAGAGACTAACAGATCGATTATGCGTTCAACTTTCATAACTTTATCATGGCCGTACATGAAAAGTTATCGTAAGATTATAAAAAAACTAAATAGTAGTTATATCAAGAAGATTATGATATTATAATATTTCTAGGGCGACACAAATTCGAAATTGTTAAGAAATCTGTGATAGAGGACAAATGTGGTACACGATAGTTGTTCGAGCGCGACAGCAATGTTAATTAATGGACAACCTAGATGAGGCTTTCAATTGAAGCGCACTAGAAGCGCCTCCGTAATCTAATTGAAAGTTCAAACTCGTTACAGTCATTTAGACCTCTCACAAATAGAACGCAACCATGCGCTACCGAAGAATGAATATTATGCAATTGCAATCCTCGCTAACTTGTGGCGGTTGAAACTTGTTTTGAAAGGATTTTTATTACACATCAAATGACCATGTCATGGCCGACAAGTATGTTATTATAGCCCACGTTACTTCAGGTTAAAAGATCTCAGAACTCAAATATTCTGAAAATTTCTGTGATGAAAAATTAATTTGACGTATTTCAGCAGGCACATAAATAGTTTGGAAATAATTCACGTAATTCTCCACATTTGCATAGGAACCCAAAATTAGTTTTTGTATGTTTCAGTGCTGTTGAAAAGCAGAATAAAAAATTATAATAAACATACCAGAAGCTGAACCACTTAACTTCCAACATCAGCGTCTTACTTAGATTTTAACTTTGATGTTGGATGCAACGTTGATGTTGTTCCAACTTACTTAGCTTCCAACATCAACGTCGCTGATGAAACACGCGAGACCTGCAAGAATTAGGCTGAAAGAGAACGAGTTCTTTCGGCCAATACTTGAAGGATGGGACCAGACAAGGGCAAGCACGTCGTATATAAAATGTCTAGTATCACACCTATTACGAGTCTATTATACTACCAACTTGGGCTGTGAGTCTGCGTCATATGCATGCTGACTGGCTGGCTCGCAGTCACCTGGCAGTGTCTGCATTGATGTTCAACAATTGCAACTTCGTGCAGTAGAAATCCGAGTAACAGTTTACGGAATTACGAGCGATACAACTGATATGGCGTTTAAATTGTTTTAAATCATTGCTAATACATTGTGATGAGGGAGCATCAAGCCTGCAAAATGAATATAAAATGTGTAAAAACCAAGTTCAGGGTCGGATAAACTGAATGCTAAAATAACAATCTAAAAGATTGAAACGATGAATTTTATCGAACTTACAACTGATAAAGACACATAGAATAATAGTCAAGGCTGGAAAACAAATGTGTTGCCTGTCAAATCCTCCAGTCGGTGACAAAGGTTTCAATCCTGAACAGCTCACAAATAACTTGGTGCACATTGCACAATAAATCTTTGTCGTGTAGCTTGCCTTCATCAAAACACATTCGCATGATTTTCAATTTTATTTCATCCACCACGCTTAAATGGAAATTTCTGCATTAAACATTCTCAAGATTCAAATTTTCCAGCTCAGAATAGGTCTTGCACAGACACAACACTGACACAATAATCATTAATTTTGCCTGAAAACAATCCCAAAAACTTCTTATTGCGAGTAAAGCTATCCGTAAAAATATTTACGATCAGCAAGCTCAAAATTGGACAATATTTGACCAGGAAGAGGAGCACGGCATCGACGCTTCAAGAGAAAAAAGTCAAAAGCCAGATGTCGACGTGAAATTAAAGGTCTCGCTTTAATGTTCAGACAACAGCTGCCTCCACATCGCATGAGTAAAAATATATTGCCGAAGAAAATTCATCATAATAAAAATGAAAGGCCAGTGAAGAAGGACGCTGATTAAAGCCTACACTCAGAAACTAATGGGACATACTGTCCAAACATTGATACACTTCAGACACGTGGCACTGATATTCCTTTTTACCGAGCCAAACTGGGTCAGGTTGACCAGCACAAGGACAAAGAGTGCATGGCTATTTGGACAAAGTCTCACTCATATCTCTAAGTGTAGCCAATACTCCATGAATGTTAGGTGCGCCGCAATCTGAAGCTGGCAATTTAGCCTTATACCTACGCTGGACAGCCGAGCGCAGGAGTGTCTCTTGATTGATTGCATGTCACTAAAACTTATCGTGAATATGAAGAAAAATTAAATCTTATTTACTACGTAAATCTTGCCATTGTACTTAAAATAACTTATTAATCTATAGATTGATAGGGTGCCACAAAAAGATATCACATATCTTCAATATAAAGTCTGATTAAATATAAATATTCTACTTAAAATGAGTAATTGAAAGCATCTATAAACGAATGAAAGATCCATTTGCGTTGTTTGAAACACGTAATGGAAAATAACACTACATTACAAGAATTTGTTTAGTAGGTGAATAGAGGTTCTAACTTAAATTTGGACGAGCCCATAACTGAAACATAGGTATATTGAACTTGCAAACATCGATAGAGATTCGATTTGAATAACATTAGAATAAAAATATAAGCAAAAAATACAATGTTTGTGATCCAACTGGCTGAAGGCTAGCGACACGACAAATCAAAGCTATATAATACCAACGACTGGAGACAGTTATCATTGATCGATAGCTTCGTCTGTCCATATTGGTCTAAGAAGCCCTGGTGAAAAATCATGGCCGTCTTAGTGTTACCCCAGCATCGATCTACTAGTGGCCACGGATGAGTTTCACCCGAAATAAAATCTCAATAAAATCTCCAGAAAAATCATGGTCGATTTCTCGTTACCCGATAATCGTTCAACGAGCGTCCACAAATGATTTTCACCCGAAATAAAATCTCAATAAAATCTCCAGAAAAATCATGGTCGATTTCTCGTTACCCGATAATCGTTCAACGAGCGTCCACAAATGATTTTCACCCGAAATAAAATCTCAATTAAATCTCGAGGGCATCATTGCAGCGCAGCTTGTGGAGAGCAGAAGGCACGGTTGGACGGCCTTGAAGAGGTCGCCATGTGTAAGCCACTGGACGAAACCAGACACCAAAATAAATATCCAACTTGCAGGTAAAAAAACTGTACCACTGGAGCCGTACATGACCGCACAAATGGAGTCTAAATGATCAATGTAAACACTTTCGCCTGCAAGACCCGCACTATTGCTCAATGGGTGGGCGAGCTCAGGGTATGAATAGAACCTTCAACTTACGTCATCACTAAAATGCGTTTACGCCTTCTTCTTGCTTGAATCTTGCGGCCATGCACGTGGTCAGGCGTTTATTTGCAATTAATAATAAATTAATCAGATAGAACGAAAAATTTTAGGTTCATTACGATGCGACAAGCAACTTTGACCAGTAGCTTTCAGCCTACATGCTTGGAAACAATCTTTTAATACAATACACAAACCAAAGCTGACCATTTGATACGATAATGCACAATATAGATTAACTACATTTTAAAAACCCAAGAATCAGATCAGCAAGCATCACGTGTATTTCTCCGACCGAAACATAAGCTAATGAAGCCATTGCGCGTTGAAACAGACGGGCTTCCTCGACGCCGCAGACTAATTTTGTTCTCCTATGGCGTGCAGCATCATCAATATCGTAACGACAAATTAATGCTGCTAAAAGCTTCTGCTAATAAACTACTTGTAGTAGCTGTAGTGTTAAAAACAGCACCATCACATGCGCCGCTGACATGCGACCGTTAATCTTGAGCTATATGCGCGTATTTCACGCAAGCTGCCTCACCATACTATAGAATTTGTGCACATCAATGGAACAAGGCTAATGATGAAATCTTGTGCTGCTAAAACGCAATTAAGATCGCACAATGTAAACAGTTTGACTGCATTATTGAAGCCAACACTAAGAAAAGAAACGGTTAGAGATAGACTCTGAATAAAAAATAATTCGAGTATATCCACAGGCATCAACTTGTTCTCTAACGATAAAGTTAAGCTCGAGCAAGCAGAAACCTTATGGCATTTAGATAACAAAAGAGCAGACATTAGCGCTGCATGCAGTTTACGCAGTCAACAATGGGCAGAAAACTTGACAGCGTAACAAACGGTCCGCACTCGACAGGCTTCTTTCCATTGCGCAGAAGCAGCGAAATGACAAATATGAAATCCTCGTCGATGATCATGAACAACAAGGACGTTTCTGTCGATAATCCTCAACCACGAGGTTATGTATGAATTATTTTAGCAAAAATCCTACTTAAAGCTCAGCATTTCGACTTAGTTATATGTTATACAATTTCACGTTGCCTTAAAATCGATAATTTCAGAAAAAATATTCGAAGGTTTACATGTGAATGTTCTGAGAACGATTAAATATAGATTGATACGAGAGTGTATGATATTATTGAATAATACAGTAATGTCGACAATGATTCCTTGTGCAGTTGAAGGGCAAGAATAGAGCCAACGAATAGGACAAAGTATAGGTGAGCTGGAGTTAGTGTAGGAGGAACGAGCGGCAGGGCGTGGCGTGTGCCGCAAACACCAACACGCAAACTACACATACAGCGCGACATTAAACACATTAAGGAACATGTATTCCGTATTGAGCATATCTAGCCGATTTCAAGATAAATATTCAAATACGCAATACTAATTAGGCGACAAATGTCTCTTACCATCTAATATGCGTCAGTATATATTAATTGTATCGTGTCTCGATACCTGACTGCATGCAAGCTTTGTACTATGCTGCTAACGATAATTCTCACGGTGATGCATAGAGTTGGCTTGCTCTGAAAAACCCTATCGTTATTACAGTAATAGTAGCAAATAGTAAGAATATCACTGTCTTAGACTTGGTTCATTCTTAAACATAGTTAATAATTATCAGTTACTGATTTAGACACGGCAAAGCAAACGATAAAAAAATGTTCAATAGATGAGGTATACTCGATTATAATTTAATTTCAACATTTTTTTCCATGGACCACAAAAAGTATGATGCTGTACATAAAATAAACATTACCTGCAATTTTCTAGAGCGTGGAGAGCCGTTGCACGCCACAGAAGATGACGAAGAGGAGTCGGTAAGATGCGCGGACTCTTCGCCGCTGTGCGCACGCTGCATCAAGTATCGCAAACGCACGGAAGGTGCAATATCTTGTCCATTGGCTGCACGAACATCGACTATCCTGAAAGTTCCTTTCCTAACCAGCCGTGACACGGGCTTGTGATCACGCACCAGAGGACAGTTCCGTTGCTGGCGGTCTTGCAGACCAGTCCGCACTAACGTGCTACCGCTCAATCTATCATTGGAACCAGAAACCTTGTCGTGACACTCGTCTCGGTAGCCGTTTGCAACAGAGCTTCTGCTACTCGCCCTGCTCCAAGGGTCAATGGTCTCACGCGAACCGCGACGAGAAGGATTGGTTTCATATTTACTGGCTTTAGTTTCGGAACTCCGCCGATCTTGGCTCGGCTGTTTTCTTCCCGCTGTTACCAACTTGTTGGGGGACGGTGCCGGACGTTTAGAAGAAGGGGATGGTCGCGACGGAGAAGGCAAGGACTTCTTAGAAGACGCAGATTGACGGCTGAATGCAACACTGCTCTCCAGTGGCACTATCGGTCCTAAATTAATGCTAATTGTTGTTGCTTTGATTGGTTTTCCGGTATTATGGGACAAATCTGAATCAGCAAAATGAGAAGATGTTGCGCTAGCATCATCTCCTCCAAGATGAACCCGACTGCGGTGTTTTTTGTTTTCTTTATTACTGTCAGAGCTGCTGCAGCTGCTTATGGTATTGCTATCTGAGAATCCACTAATAGGACATTCCGGCACAGATTTGCTGGGCTGCATTGAGGGAGCGCGAGAGGAAGCAATCCGTCTTTTGTTGGTCGCATGCGGTTGGCTGTAATCAGTCTGCGACTGAGGGAAACAGCGCTCGGCCAGGACGGGCCCAGCACAGTTGTGACTATTTACCGACAAATTATCTGCTTCGTCTGTAATGTGAGGATCATAAATTGTGTGGGTAAGGTGACCGTGAGGAGAGAAGCCCATACTAGCAGACACTATTTCTGGATGACGGTCATTATAATTTTCAATAAAATTATCATTGGCAACGTTGAGACTATCATCAGAACAGCCGCTGATACCTGACGAGTTTGAATCCAAAGAAAGTTTTCGGTCTTCTTCGTACTGATAAGGATTGATTGGTACATCGATGCTCGTCGTATGATTATAGTTAGAAACAGAAGGACGATGTGGCGTTGTTCGTGATACGCCGTTTAGTTTCACTCCAAACGCAGCGAGAACGTCTTCTCGAAGCCGTGAAGAAATATTTACATGTTCTCCGCGATGTACAGGTGGCTGTGAGGACCCTCGAGGGACCGATCGCTGGGTATCCCCTCTAGTTTGCGACCTCGCCGTGCGTGGATTGTGAATAGCAGACTTTGCTTGCGGACACCGCCCTCTCGCAGGCACAATTTGTTCCCTGGGAGCGCAGGCACGAGGGAGGCCAGGCGACTTCACAGATCGACCAATATTATGGTGGATGTCAGAGCTGCGCATGGCGCTGGAGTCACGAGAACGCGGCAGTAGCGGCGAGGCACAAGGCGCACTTCGGTCCACAATGGGGCCCGTCATCATGTTTCGTCTCTGTGTGCTGGGACTAGGAGGCTGAGAACGACCCAAGCAGGGACTAGGAGGTGGCTGGACACGGATCACTTGAGGGCAGCTTTGTAGCGCTGAAGTCGCTTGTCGCCGAGACATGACGGGACTGGGCGGCAGTTCGCGTGAAAAATTTGATGAGATTTGCTTTCGTGTCATATGAAACGTTACAGGACTAGGAGGTCTAGTTTTAGCCACACTGGGGATTATTTGTTCTTTACGAGTGGGTTGTGGGCTTGTCATTTGTTTGCGATTCACTTGAGGACTTGATGGTAGCTTGCGTCCCACCTGTGGACTTGGGGGTAATTTGTTGTCTCCCTGACAATTGGTGTAGCCTCGCCTCCCCATACTGGGAATAGGGGCTCTGCTTTTGCTGCGATTAGGACGGAGAGGCGGGGCTGTTTCCTCGCGCTGATGAGTCATGTTAAGAACATCGATAGGCTGCCAGTGTTGGTTAGTGTCAGTAGTTAAGCAAACTAACTCGTTGTTTTGATCAGTATTAGTCTTGCCAGAATTAGCAATTAAATCCTGGCGCAATGCCTTCAAGTTCTGTGTATTTACGTACGATCTAACGTGACCTCCACGCGAAGCAATTAAAGCTCCCGAGGGCGATGCCACTGCGACTCTCCGCGCGCCGTCTAATAAGGCGGAACCTTTCAAGAAGGGCCTGGCACTGCCTCCGTCGCCTGAACACGTTAAAGTCGCGTGAGATAACGTAGTGTTGTGGTCTCCAGTCCACTTGGCTTGCAGCCGTCGCATCAACTGTAAGAGTCTCCGGGAGGGTGTAACACCTGCCAGCTCTTTCCAGGCAGTCTTCCAGTTTGCGTCGTCTTTAATTTGACTAAAAGCTTCTGCTGTCACTTCTTCAGATCGAACAGCTTCGAAAACACTACTGCAGCTGTTATTACCATCACCGAAAGTTTGAGCCGCAAGCTGAGCTAAGACACTTTTGTTATACTCGTCTAATTCTTTCAGTTTCTCACTTGTGAGCTCAATCACAGATGAATTAGCGTCAATTTCAGGACTTGACGGAGCCGAAAAATTCGCCGCTGCTCCAGCAATGTCCTCGTCTCCCGCAAATGAGGAAGTGATCGACACACCGCTATCTGAGGCTTGACGTCTCAGCAACGATGACGATCTAGAACCACCAACACTCACTCTCTTGTTGTTGCTACCAAGTGTTGATTTGTTGGTGGTAGTTGTTCTAGTAGGAGCAGGACTGGAGACACGGTCAACGCTGCCACTAGAGGCGGTGCCCTGGACACAGGCAACTCTCGGAGCGACACTCGCTGAGCTCAGACTGACTTTAGTGGCAACTCGGAACCTCTTTGGTGTTGCAGCAGCGGCAGCGGTGGTGGTGGTGTTGGTGGTGGAGGCTGGCGCAACTACCCGCTTCCCGCTGGGGCTTATTCCACCCCCTCCTCCTCCCCTTCCTCCTCCTACTCCTTCCTCGTACCTTTTCCGTACTGCGGCCACCATGCCTCCAAACACCTGTGGAGGCGCTCCTCTACTGCCCATTATGCTGATGGCGCAGCGCACTGATAACGTTATTCACTTCACTCCCAACTGTGACTTATATCTTTAGTTAGGCGATCTATGATCAAAAAAGTTGTGGGCACTTGAGTGAACATTTCTGAATTATACTCACGAAATCTTCAGCTTAATCACTGATGATGTAACACAGAGACACTTAAACAGAGACACAACACTGCATTATGATTAAGTACGAAAAAAGGAGCCTTCAATAAATTTCAACACTGTTTTTTGCCCAACAAAAAAAAAACACTGAGAAATATTATAGTGCAAACATCTGAAATAAGCAGATATTCAAATGAAATAATCAAACAGCGAATCGGATGGCATCCTAAACTGTTAAGATCGACGAATAATAATAACCAAAATAAATTTTCTCTCATCACCAAAATTAAAAAGTGAACTTTTTCACCGAATTACAATTTGCGGATAGTTATATTCTGAGATGATAGGCTGAACATGAATTGCTGGAAATTTAGACTACGCTGTCGGTATAAACGCACGACGCCCGCAAGAAAACGATCGTTGAATTATTAAGAAAATATTATAATTAATAATACAATCACTGCGAGATCTCATACGGCATTTAGAGGTTTGCAGAAAAAATTATGGTATGAGGAAGGGCAGCTCGACTACCGTAATGCATTGAAGTTCACTCACTTCACGTCTGACTCCACTTTTCAATGGAGTAGTTGAAGAGTTCATTTTCGATTCGTAGTTAAAATATGTTTTCAAGACAGAAATATTACACACAGTTGCATTTATAAAAATACTTGAAAAAATAAGTGCGAAAAACATCTTTCAGACATCGTGTCAATACACGGGTCATTATTACGCATCAAAATGAACTGAGTGTAGCCAAAAACAAAAGCTGGACAAATAATTTGCATAAATTAGCGTGTTTGTCATGGCGTTGTCTGAACGCCTTGCAAGACATTGCAGTTGAGAAGCAAGACAGACAGCGCGACGCCAGTAAAGCTGTATGTAAATGGGGCTCGCTCAACGCAGATAAATTCTACAGAAATAACATCGTATTCATCGAACATAAGTTTTCCACTTCTTGATGAATACGGTACTATAGAAAAAAACAAAGTATCTACTGAATATAGGCTAGCTAAATGTAACTTATCCATCTTATAATAGCTAGCTAAATGTTGACGAATCATACAGAAATAACACCTTATCAGACGATTATTGGCGAGTCATATACGAGTAAAATCAACCCAGAACATGAACCGTGATTCAATAGGATGGATAAATTAAGCACTTATGAAAAATTTATTTGAATTCTTTCTACAAACTATATAATCCATCAGATCATGCTTAATTTCATATCATGAGCTAAACTGCTAACCTATATATTATGATAAGCGGGGTCAAAACCCTGAGTGGAGTCACGAGCGATAGAAGTCACCGACGACAGAGAGCTTGCAAGGCTGCCGTGCACTCGAGCGTGTCATTATCACGTACAGGGCGCGGCTTCCACTTCCTCGCCTATGCCCAAACTTGCTTCTTCTTCATAGAAATAACCACTGCTTCAACACTCGTCCAAGATGCACGAGTCTCGTATGTTTGGCTCGAGTTTCTTCTGATTCGCAGTTCAATGGAGGTCACAAATCAGTCATCAGTCACACATCAGTCATCAGTCACACATCAGTCATCAGTCACACATCAGTCATCAGTCACACATCAGTCATCAGAATGCATCAGTCTCATATTCCTGAGGATGTCAGAGCACATTAGTCTCCTAGCCCCAAATGACTTAGAGCACATCAATCTCTTAGCCACCAAATGATTTAGAGCACATGTCGCCTTGTCACACATCAGTCATCAGTCACACATCAGTCATCAGTCACACATCAGTCATCAGTCACACATCAGTCATCAGTCACACATCAGTCATCAGTGACACATCAGTCATCAGTGACACATCAGTCATCAGTGACACATCAGTCATCAGACACATCGGTCATCAGTCACACATCAGTCATCAGTGACACATCAGTCATCAGACACATCGGTCATCAGTCACACATCAGTCATCAGTGACACATCAGTCATCAGTGACACATCAGTCATCAGAGACACATCAGTCATCAGAATGCATCAGTCTCATATTTCTGAGGATGTCTTAGAGCACATCAGCCTCCAAATTCTCGAAATGGCTCGAAGCTCATCAGCCTCCTAGCCCCAACTGACTTGGAGCACATCAGTCTCCTAGCCCCAAATGACTTGGTGCACGTCCACCTCCTAGCCCCAAATGACTTGGAGCACATCTGTTTCCTAGCCCCAAATTCATTAGAGCACACCAGTCTCCAAGCCCCAAATGACGCAGAGCACATCAGTTTCCTATAGCCCAAGGACGTATGGAATTAATGTCTCTTAAGACAATGAAGTCACTGGCAGGCAAATATCGCAACAACGAACTGTAGTGATGACGGCAATAGATTCATCTGGCCATGCAAAAGATATAGGGTCTAGCCTCGAGGTAGCAATGATACGCAACTTCCGCGATACGCAGCCAACACAGCGACGATGCGGTCAGCTGATCATTGACCAACATCATCAATGATCTGTCATCAAACTCATCCATAAAAATCGAGTTTCTATTATTGCTAGGAGCAAAGGTCTTCATTATTGCTAGGAGCAAAGGTCTCCTTAATTGTCGAGCTGCTATATAGGAGCAACCTTCCAACTATTCATCAAGCTGCTAGAAATTGGGACTGTTAAAGTCCCTCAAAACTCAAACGAAGTCAAGGATACTTCGCTTCTCTTACCGCTGTGTCACTAGAGACGGACATGCTAGTTTGGTGTTGGAATTTCCATACATTGAGGGGAGCGGTATAAATCATCAGTAACTAAAGAGCAAATCCCTAATTGAGCTGCTAATTATGAATGACAAAAAAAGTTTCTTTTATTCAGGGAAAGTTTCTTTTTATTCAGACAGTTTATTTAATTTTTGTAAAGATTAAAAGCATGCATCGTTCTAGACCAGTACAAATAAAAAAAACGTCCATTCACCATCATCAAATATCTCTGAGAATCACTCCACAACCAACGACAAAGATGACGTCAGAGGAACATACAAGGCATGATCATCAGCATTCGCTAATTAGCCTTCAGACAACATTAACGAGCTTGTTAATGAGCATGCATAACTTCCCATAATTCATCATTCGGCCTTGTAACAGTAGCAACGATGCACGACGGTAGTTAGCTAACATCGCTACGCATGTTTCTTGCTATCACATCGCGTTAAACACGGATCTTAATTAAGGCTTAGACAAGCTTAAGTTGAAAGAGTAAAAAAGATTTCTCTGGAATCGCCATGACGATATAACTACGTTTATCAAGTGTTGGGTGATACGCGACTCGAGCATCCGTAATGTTCGTGACAATTAAAGAAGTTTACCACGATGTTAACTCAAAGGCTATATTAAAATGTATGTACAAATTTCAAACAACTGAGTTTCACATATGAGATCAATTTTATAGCTCATCTTCGAGTATTAAAATCACTATAAGAACACTAAAACTGGCTAGAAAACATGAGAATTAAGAAACAGAATTGTTTTTCATAGCATACTTGAACCTCTCGACAGCGGAACCGTGTCACTGTTTCTAACATATCATCGTCTGTGTCTTGTGACACTTGACCGGAGTTGCTTCAATACAGCCAAAATAAGCATTTGAGCCAGCGTCTACAAATGAAGTGGAAGTAAGTCTCAAACGAAGAGTGGCATAAAGAGGCTTTGGCGCTTTGCTAACGATTCAGTTCCATGAATATTACTAAGAGAAGTGCAGCTGTACTTGTCGCAAAAAGTGTGAAAAAACTGTACTTGTTGCAAAAACTTTAAATGATTTGTTGATTCTTGTAAGTGTTATCTATATTTAAATTCCCCCAACCACGTAGCCAATTTAAAACTCGACACTGAATCTTTATAGTTACCGTTCAGGGAGTCCCATTTTCTTCAGGCCGGTAGAAAGAAAACGTTGTTACGTTGCGTTTGACCACCCAAACTACACTATAGTGGAAAATAACAGAAATACTGTCTAGTTCGATGGTGCGTAAAATTACGTTAGCTGTTTTACAAAATTCATCGACGAGGGTGAAACTCTCAGTGGTAGAATGCTCAAATACTCTGATTTTAAGGCAATTCTTTAAATCCATTGTATGCCTAATAAAAGTTAACCATCTAAGACGACCTTTGATCAGCTTACTGTTAATTAAAGAAAAATATGACATGTACAGTTGTACACCTATTGCTCGCCATTCAAGATTAAAACCAAATCCAATTATGTCAAAAATGAAGCCAAAATTGAGCCGGCCTCTCGAGAGGACACCGGTAAATAAAAATTCAGCGGTATAGGTTCCTGTTATTCTCGAGATTAACGTAATATGCCCACTAACGTATAAATAAGATTTGATGTTCACTACTCTCGAGTTTGTCATAAACTTTAGAATGGCGAGAACCTGACGAGATTACGACGTCGAAATTACTTTTGCGGAACTGGTTCCACCGACCAACACCTGGTTTCCCCACTCAACACTCGAATGCCGTTAAAATTACTAGCATTCGCCTGCAAGGAAGAACGTCGTTGTGATCGTGGAAACTTTTACAACACAATTGCCATTGCAACCTTATGTCTCAACTGAGTGTTCAATTTACGAGTAAAATGTGAAGAAATATCGAGAAGCTTACGACGAATGTCAAAGTGAGCGGAAAGATGAAAGTGCGTTGCAAGACGAGGGAAAAGTTCACTAACGTATACAACTTAATGACTTTCCGACTAAGCTAACATAATATTATCAATGCGAATAATCTGATTTCATAATTTTTCTGTTATTAATGACAATAGTATCTATTTCCCTGATAGAAATGCAAATGGATGTTAGGCCTGTTGTACTTGATAATACTTGAATATTATCAATTACAACCAACATTGTTCGTAGACTAAATGAGATATTAAGTATAGGGAATGATGTAATTGTTGCTCACACTCACACAAGAATTGTAAATGAGATGGCAAACTGGCGTGCCGGATTAGACTTAGTTAACTATTATGCGTTTCACCTCATCGTGCATAGGTTATGATGCAGTCAAAACATCTGATAAGTTTCAGTTTAAATTCATTGCATTCGAGAAGGTCTTCATCGCGTTGCATCAATCAAAAAAAAATATAACGCAGTACTCACTGCAGTGAGTGACAGAGAGCGCATTTTCTCGTCGACGAAAACTTGAGGTCACTGAC